ATCCATCCATCCATCCATCCATCCATCTATCATCCATCCATCCATGTATCTATCTATCTATCTATCTACCTGTTTTCATTCATTTCATTAAAGTATTCAGTAATTAATAACATGAATATTATTTTCAATAATAAAATGAATACAATTTAATAATTAATGACATTAATACAACAATTTAATTTTGTATGTATTTGTTTTAATCTCTGTCTGTTTTTATTTCTAATTTCTGAAAAATAAAATGCATCACGGTTTCCACAAAAATATTGCACAGCACAACTGTTTTCAACATTGATAATAATCAGAAATGTTTCTTGAGCAGCAAATCAGCATATTAGAATGATTTCTGAAGATCATGTGACACTGAAGACTGGAGTAATGATGCTGAAAATACAGCTGCGCATCACAGAAATAAATTACAGTTTAACAGATATTCATATAGAAAAAGTTTTTTTTTATTAGAATAATATTTCACAGTTTTTCACTATATTTTTGAATAAATAAATGCACCCTTAGTGAGAACAAGAGAGGCCGAACACATAAGAGAATCGACACAGAAGCCTGATCAATAATCCATCAGTGTCTCTATTGACGAGTCACTTACTAGACACTTTATCCAGAGTGTTTTCCGCTGGTTTCTCCTCCTCAGTGGTCAACTTGTCCAGTAACTCTCTAGTGGGACTGGGTAAAGATGGCTCTCCTAGGAGAAAACAACACAAAAGCACATTTCCTGTCAAACAGGAAGTCACTGCAGTGTCAGATAGACTAGTTTGGAAACACATGAATCACGTTATAAAGCTACTGCTTGAATGACTGAAATGAGTTTGTAAATAAATATAAAATTAGCCACGAATTTCTGCACAAAACAAACATTTAAATTAATTCTGTCAAGCTGTCAAACTCCAAAAGGGGAAAACAAGGTGAATTGTGACCCTGGACCAGAAAAACAGTCATAAGGGTCAATTTTTTAAAATTGAGATGTATGCATCATCTGAAAGCTGAATAAATAGCTTTCCATTGATGTATGGTTTGTTAGGATAGGACAATATTTGGCTGAGATACAACTATTTGAAAATCTGGAATCTGAGGGAGCAAAAAAATCTAAATATTGAGAAAATCATCTTTAAAGTTGTCCAAATGAAGTTCTTAGCAATGCATGTTACTAATCAAAAATTAAGTTTTGATATATTTACGGTAGGATATTTAATAAATATCTTCATGGAACATGATCTTTACTTAACATCCTAATGATTTTTGGCATAAAAGAAAAATGTATAATTTTGACCCATACAATGTATTGTTGGCTATTGCTACAAATATACCCCAGCGACTCCAGGGACACATTTCTTAAGAAATCATCTTTTTGTGCTGGTGTTTGTTTGACCTGTGCAGGGAGGAAGCTTGCAGACGGACACGGACTCAGGTTTGTCTGCGTCACACTGTCCCGAGCTGCCTTCAGACGGCCTGCAGATGACCTGCCGCTGCTGGATCCCTTCACCGCAGCTCACCGAACACTACAGGAAACACATCACATTCAGACAGGAAACACGTACAGATCATTGGGATGAACGCTAGAGGAGATCTGCGTGTGAATTTGTGTTTTACTGTCACATGCTTGATCACATCAAACTCGCAGTGAGCCGATATTACCACTTTAAAAATAACTTTGCATTTAGAACCACAAATTTAGTTATTTACCATTTATTTAATATCATTTCTATTTAATCTAATATTCATAAATGAAACTTTACAATTCCAAATCTTGCAAATTATTTAACTTAAATCAGTAGTGTGCATGTATGTGTATTTAATATTTTAATACTTAAAAATAATAACAATATTAGAAATAGAAAAAAAAAACATTTCTAGAAAGCAATACTAACTCACAGGTAAAAATGTCAAACTCAGGAAATTGTGGCCTTACAATGACAAATATTACCACTTAAAAGTTACCTTTGCATTTGGAACCATATAATTTGTTATTCAAACTTTATTTAACAATAAAATACTAATTTAACAATAATTAAAAAAATTAATTTAACAATAAAAATAAAAATTGGAATTGGATTTTTTAAAATTTATTACAAAATTATTACATTTAGAAATTCAACTTTTCAATTATAAATCTTAAATGCAAATTATTGATTTAAACCAGTAGTGTATTTGTGTATGTATTTATTTAATATTTGTAGCACCTAAAAAAATAACAATACCATAAATTAAGCTAAAAATGAAACATTTCTAGAAAACAATACTAAAGTATACTACTAAAATTTTGAAATGAAACCTAAACCAAAAACATACAAACTAAATAACTAAACAGATTTATGATGCACATGCAATTTATAAATACTCATACAAATATAATAAATACATCTTATATATACTAATAGATGTAATTTATTAAATTTATTTTATTGTATTTTCATTATTCCTATTTTTATGGTTCTATTTTAATAATATTTAAATTTATTTACTGAATTAACTTAAATAAGTAACTTATATTTCTGTTATGTGATTATCATCTAAATTATTCTCAGTGTCTCCTTATCTCTTACATGCAGTGTGTGTGTGTGTGTGTGTGTGTCTGTTTGTGTGTGTGTGTGTGTGTGTGTGTGTGTGTGTGTGTGTGTGTGTGTGTGTGTGAGTGTGTGTGTGGTCTGTGTGTGTGTGTGTGTGTGTGTGTGTCTGTATGTGTGTGTGTGTGTGTGTGTGTGTTGTGTGTGTGTGTGTGTGTGTGTGTGTGTCTGTATGTATGTGTGTGTGTGTGTGTGTGTGGTGTGTGTGTGTGTGTGTGTGTGTGTGTGTGTGTGTGTCTGTATGTGTGTGTGTGTGTGTTGTGTGTTGTGTGTGTGTTTTTGTGTGTGTGTGTGTGTGTTGTGTGTGTGTGTGTGTGTGTGTGTGT